CTTTTTGACCGTACGTTTCTTGGGAGGCTACGTCTGCTACGTTTTTTCTGAAAACGTGGGGAAGGAGTGGCGTCGACGCACGTCACTCGCACGGTTACGCAAGGTGTAAGAGTGTGGTCTGCACGCCACGTCTGGCCGTGAGCGGTTGCGTGCATTGTACGTTGCGCAAGTGGTAAGTGAGTTGTACGTGCTTACAACGTACGATCTCTGTGCGATTACAACTTTACCGTAAGGAGGCCGTACTCACACGTGCTTCTTCTGCACGGCACTACGGGGCATGCACCTCGCTCGTACTCGCACGCACGGTTGTTGAATCCGCAGACCGCACGTATAAAAAGTTTTACATGCACTTAAATTTCTATGGCGTGTCTGCGTGCTCCCAAATCCGTAGGATTCCGTACGGAGGTGGTACTCACCACGCACGGATGCCCTACGTTTGTCCACGTTTTTGCACGTAGACAGCACGCAGAAGCACGTACGGCGGGTTGTGACTGTAGCTTAAAGTACACATCTTGTCTGCAAAATAACAGCTTGATAAAACAAAGGCTGTTAGCCAACGCTTGAATGTAAACTGTTTTTATGTCCTGGGTAAATGGAGATATTCACTTAGCTCTGTTTGAGATAACGTTTTCCGTCTTACCGCTCAACTGTAAATTTCAACTCTTAAAAATATACTGGAAATTCATTAATTTTTGCAGGGGCTTCATTCTGCTGTAGAAATGACGTTTGGGCCATATATTAATGTAAATGTAGTATAGCAGAAATACATTTTTGAAGTGTCACATATTTATTCTCAGTGTGAAAATAAAACCACAATCATTCGAAGATTCTCTGTTTCACTAGACTCTAGTTGAACATGATAATGACAGCTTGTGCCAAATGTAAAGACTGTGTTGACAGTATACCACTTTCCTTCCTCTTGGAAGCAGATGTCTTTTGTACCCGAAGTTATGTAAACATAATCTGAGGAAGCTAACAACCAGAGCCTTTTACCTGGCACAAGGTGAGTAAACTTTGAGAGGGTTTTCATCTCAGGGAGTTTTTTTACAGTGAAGATCGTGTTTCAACCCCCAAGGGTTATGGAGTATACCTTGGATGAATAAGTCTTCTGTGCACTCGCCTTGTTGTTATGGTATAATATAACCCACCTTTTCAAGTGGGACATTGGAATAGCAAGGATGAATCCACCTATGTGCTAGCAAGGATCTCAACAGGTGTTTCTATGTGACTTTAACTATGTCCAGACTATAGTTGTTTATACCCTTACTACATGCACTTGCATTTATAACGATTGGAATTACTCAATAGGAATTTCATATCATATCCAATCCCAAATCAAGTGCCAGCTAAAGAGATTTAAGAAACTTGAAATTCTCTTCTTTTCTTCTCAAAAACCTGCAGTGATTGATAAAATTTATTTGAATCTGCCGTATTCTGTTCAGCTGTTTGTTTAACAAAGTATGTTAGACTTTCTGGTCAAGTTCAAACACAGTCCAGACCATAAAACATGATAAATGTTACCACATCTACTGATGGAAGTAACCAAACTTATCTGCAGTCAGTAGAAACATTTACACAAACTTGGCTGACATGACTAAATCATATAGAACAATTACAGCACCAGTAAGCTAAGGTTGGCTAACATCCGGCTTTACGAAATGTGTATCTGCTGTTTTCTTTTTCCGGCCAATAAACATTTACAAGTGTCCAAACACACGGAATACACACATAGGTGCTAATCAAGGAAGTGAGACACTTAAAAGTGCTACAAACTGTTCTGATGCAAATCGTTTCTCATGTTGGCCTTTGTTTTCAGGATGTGTACTGAATCTGGCCACACACAGTCCCGAACTGGGAGATTTTTCCCGACAAATTTTTCATCAGTGGTTAAAAGCCTTTTGGGAAGGAAGATGGAAAGAATAAATGTCAATGAATTCCAGTCATGGTCAGTTGGTGCAATTTTCTGATCACTTTCAAGTTTCCATTCTATCTCGATCCTATCAAGGAAAAATATGTCCTCCCTGATCGCATTTTGAAAGGTTCGCGGAGTTCTGGCAAAACAACTCGACGCACGCCTTCAATTCACAATGGACCACGAACTGTACTCGTAACTCTAAATCGCACTTCCAGGCACGCACAAGAAGTTTTGTGCCGGGTAGAAACGTGGGATTTATATCTTTTAGTTTCTGAATCCAGCTCAGGATTTGTTTGTTGAGCAAAGGACATTTACTGATCGCTTTGAGTTGGATAGATCAAGGAGCCTGATCCCTGTAACCCTTGGATAGACGACGGGACCCCTGGCCTATCTACCGCGCACCGATGAAAATGCACTTGGCAAACTCAGTGGGGAGAATTAAAAAGTACTCAACTCACCTTGAACGTTCAGCATCAGATGTAGCATTAACACGACGAGAGAAGCAAGGTACTCCCAGCTAGCCATCTTTGCGGTCGGTCCTACTGCAGAATACCGCCGACTTGAGGAGGCGTGACAGACGACTAGAGTCCGGGTGCAGACACAGCCACAACGCGGACACGCTCAATAAAGCGACACAAGATCAGTCACGTGACGCCAAACCTGTGTGTTGAAGGAGTGTAACTTTCGTCTCTCGGCAAACCGATCGCGTTCTTACTTCATTTTCGGAAATAGGCCGTAACTTTCTGTACTGAAAGTTCAACATCTCCGAGTTAGAAGCCGTGCATGTTCAGGAATGGAAAGAAAATCCTCCGATGCTCAAGAAAGTAGAAAGTTGGAGATTTAGGTTGGATTATTATACAGACTCCGCTGGACCAAGGACTTTAGAGATTTGGTGGCTGCCGCACAATTGTCAATTTCTGCTGTTTTTCAATTGCCCAAAAGTGGATGGTGGGATCAATAATATATATACGTGTGTATAGGTGATATCATGACGATAAGACAAGTTGTTAAAAGCCATCTCTATTGCACCATATGATACAGGTGTTTCCCGAGCCCGGAGCTACACCATGGGGAAGAATAGACAGAAGAGCCGCCCTGCGAGTAAAGGTGGAAATGCAGGAAACCAACCGAAGAACGTCTTCTCAGTATCCAAGCATAAAGCCATGAAAGCAAAGAGGAAAGCAAAATCCATCGATGTGAAAAAGGTCAGAATAAGTTTCAACTAACATCTAGATATTCATGACTTTTTCTTACAATTTGTAAAATTCACAATGCTACTTTATGAATTGCAGTTCTAACATACCAGACTGTTGTTGTTTTTACCCAGTTAAATTCTCAGGTACAAAAGGAAGTGAAAAGAGTTAACAGAACAGCAGCAAACTTACAAGAGGAACTAGTTAGGGTACACAAGGACACAAAGGCACAACAGGTAATATGGCAGCTGTAAAATTCTGTCTTATTCAAAAACCTACACTCTAGTATCTACATATGTGTGATCATAGCTTGTACATTCTTGTTTAAATAGCCAAAGTTGAGACACAACAAATTTTCTCAATTATTGATTTGACAGAACATAAAGCTTACATTTCTGTTGTACATTACATTTTCAGGTGAAGAAAACACAGCTGAGGGCCAAACCGACCCCAGGAACACAGCAACCCCCACCTGACATGGATGCTGCTGCATTACAATTTGCAATGCTATGAGAAAAAACTCTTCTTATTACTTTCTAAATACTAGTAGTATATGAAGTGAAACTTAACAGGACAAAATATTAAGGAAATATCAAAATCATCAATGCCACAAGGGCAGGGGTGTAAGTTATACAAAAAAGATAATCCTACCTTCTACTGCCAGTGTCTTATACTTGTATATCTTTTCCAAGTTATCATTATTTTCATGTCATATGACTAGACTGTGACACATTGTAACAATTTCAGTATGAAAAACATTTCTCAAATCAGTCATTTTGTTATAATGCACTTCGTCAATACAACATAGAAACATGGTTCTAAGATCTAGGACACTATGTAATCATGCTGAACAAGGATGAAGACAAATTCTATCATTAAAAAGAACATATCAGTTTGGAAAATTGCAACTTTGTTTTGTTCAGTTCTACAAGTCAACATCATAAATCTGCTGTCGTACTCTAATTGAAAAAAAAAAAACTTGCTAAAGATACTGTCAAACTACAATATAAAGACTTGTTTAAAACATGTAACTACAAACACAGATCAACTTTCATGATAATATAAAGACTTGATGTACGATAACTAGTCATGTAATCTACAGCTAAGCCTTTGTGGGATATACTCATTACCTGGTACTTCAGCCTACTACTAGTATTGGCATGACCAGTGTCAAATACTGTACTGATGTGAATAAAATACAGGTAAAGAAAAGGCCTAGTGATAATTTAAACGAAATACTGGTGTTTTTTTATATTTCCCATTAACCAGTTCTCCTAAAACATTTCTGTGTCTTGCTGTTCCTTTTCTTGCTGTTCCTCTTCTTGTTGTTCCTCTTCTTGATGTTCCTCTTCTGTTGTTGTTTGAAGACTTGCTGACATCTCCTCCACTAAATCTTCTAAGATACCGACAGCGTTGGATGGCTGCGTGTTGTCTGAGGCCATCTCTTCACTTTCCACATCTGGAATGTCGTCGTTGGGGACAATGGCTGCTATGGCAGATGCCACCTCCCCTTCTTGCTTGTCTGTCGTTCCTCCTGCTGGGCCCTGTTGCTGGTTGCTGCTAGAGACACGATGAAAGCGCGGGTTCATATTGTCTATGGTCGTCCCAGACATGAAGGACCCCTTGTAGTCTTCAACTATGGCCATCCCGTGGGTGCCTCTCTGGTGGTTGAAGAAGTCGAGAACTCGATTTGTGCCGAAGTCACACGACTTGCAGTTGTACAGCTTCACCCCTTTGTGCTTCCCGCTCTTCAGGATGTGTTTACGAAGGTTCCCATCATCATTACACCTATAGGGACAGTGTGGACACTTGAAGGGTTTTTCACCTGAAAAACAAAAAACATGTAAAGTTAACATCACTGTGCAACATAGGAAGCTTTGACCCCCCCGACCCTCCTCCAATACTATTCCAGATAGCATGAGTATACTCATGCAAAATTATTTATTGGCATGTTGCTGCTATCAACATCAACACAGTTGTGGTGCCTACATTCCCACCCTAGTATAGATATTGTGATGACAATATACCTTCATGACTACAAGTTACTGGACATGCTTTTTTTTCTATCAATTTCCTGGTACAATGTGCTATTTTTCTTTTTACACACACACACTGAGAAGCTCACAATTAAAAAAAAGAAGTAATTTTACATGGGAAGGCAGAGAGAGTAATAAAAATGTATCATCCTATAAATCTCTACAAATTAAACACTAGAAATGTTTTAGTCACAAGTCATTACATATAACAGTAAGTGTTTGTATGTTTTAAAGACTTTGCATTGATGATAGGAAAACAAACCTGTATGTGTTGTAATGTGCCTCGTCAAATTATGGGCTTGCATGGTGGTGTAGCCACACTGTTCACATTTCAGCAATTTGTCCGCGGGTTTTGTGTGCACGTGGCGGACGTGCCTGGTCAAGCCCTGTTTGGTGACACTGGCATATGAGCACCTGTCGCAGAGGAATGGCTTCTCCCCTGCATGCCTCATCATATGAGTCTTGAGCTCTGAAGGTACCTTAGCCCTGTATGTGCAGCCCTCGTGGGTGCACTTGTGAGGTTTTATTCCCTGGTGCAGTCTCATGTGCATGTTCAATTCTGTAGACCCATAGAAACACTTTCCACAGACATCACAGATAGCTGTTTTCTTCCAGGTTTTTGTGTGCAGTTTTTCTATGTGAAGCTGTCTTCTATATCTTGATGGGTACAACTTGTTACAGTAATTACAGGGAAACACCTTGCCATCATCAGCAAGGTGCTTCGGTACATGAATCTCTATTTCCTCCATATTACCTGACTGGTATTCACATATGGTGCATCTGTACTTAATACACCCTTCCTGGCTTTCCTTGATGTGTTTGTATATCTCCTGAAGTACAGCATGGTCCTGTGTTTTACAGTGCTCCTCATGTTCCTCACTGGTGTAGGCTACATGTCTGCAAGGATAACACAGGTGAGGGTCTTTCTTCATCTTGCAATGCTTTTCTACATGATTGTACAGAAAAGCAGCAATGGTAAAGATCTTGTTACAATATTTACATGCAACCTTAGCTGCTACTTTCTCACGGCGTTTCCTGTATTCCTTCACCTTTTGCTTAGGCTTTGTGTAATTGGGGGTTCTTCCAATATGCCTTGCCTTCTTCCTGTGATCTGATACTTCACTGTACTCATCAGCTGAAGAACAATCAGAACTATCAATTTGAGTCAACTTCTTTCTTTTCTTTTGCTTCTTCTTATTCTTAACCTTGCTGTCATTCTTCATGCTGCTTTCCATGCTTACATCTACATGGGTCTCCGTGTCACCCTCTTCAAAATTCCTGTCTTCCTTCTGGGTTTCTCCTTTATTCCCAGTTGCAGAGTCCTCAACATTTTGGCATGTTGCTTTCTGTCTTGGACTTGGCGCTGGTAGTTCCTTCATCATCCTCATGGCCTGTACCTTTCCTTCTCTTGGATGGGGCACTGGCTGTTTTCCTGGTACTACTTTGTTTTCTGATGACTGCTCTGACGTGCTTTTCAGTAAGGAAGTGTTGCTCTAACTTGGACTTACACTTATAATCCCACTGACATACCTTACAATAACCAAGACCACTCTTGGCTGGATCCCCAATGGCAGCTTTACGGTGCTTCTTCGTACCTAGGTGTAAATCTAGTTGTGACTTACACTTATAGTCCACTTGACAGACCTCACAATAGCCATCATTGGCAGCTTTGAGGTGCTTTCCACTCTCAGGGTGTTCTCTCAGTTTGTATCTAGTCCCAATGTCCTTCTGAGCTGTCTTACTGTCAGTATCCTGTGGCACATCTTCATGTGCAGATGTACAGTGGTTGCCTTTGTCTATGAACTCGTTGCTTGCCTCACTCGCTCCCTCCTCTCCAACTGCCATATCCTTGTCAGACGTCTCACTGGTATTGGTTGTTTCTTCACTGGTTGCCTGGATATGTTTTTTACTGCAAAGGTGTTTTTCCAGTTTGGATTTATACATCAAATCCTTTTGGCATACTTCACAGTAGCCATCACTTTTGCCTGTACCAGCAAGAGCCCCGGCTACCCTGAGGTGTTTCTTACTCTCCAGGTGTGATTTTAATCTGGATGGATAACTGTAATCATATTTACATGCCTCACAATAGCCTTCACTACGCTCCATAGCTGCTCTGTGATGCTTTTTACTACGGAGGTGTTCTTTCAATTTAGACTTGTACTCAAACTCTTGATGACAAACATCACAGTAAGTACCCTGTACTTCGATATCATCCACCCCTGATGCAGAGCCTGTGGCCTGAGGAGTGTCTTCATCGTGAGGTATGTCGTCATCCTCCATGTTGTCTGGACCAAATCCGCCACCATCATCAGAGCTCAAGTCATCATTGACACAGTCCACTGTCATGGCCATGGGAGGACTCTTGGGTCTTTCCCCTTCAACTTCTTCTGACCACTTCCCGTTGGAGTTCTCAGCATCTTCTTCAACAAGGCCAACTTTTCTCAAGTGTTGTTTGCTGGTAAGATGTTTCTTGATGTCAAAAGTGTTGTTAAACTCCACTCCACAAGGCTTACAGGAGAAGCCCATCCGCGTTGTGCATGGTTTTAGGAATGGAATCTTGTTGTAGTTTTGACTGCTTGGTTTTTTATGACGATCCTTCACCTTGTCATCCACACACTCCACGGTCATGATCATTGGAGGACAGCCAGGACTGCCTGTTTCTACCTTGTCTGATTCTTCACTGTTATCATGAGGCTGGCTATCAACATTTTCAACATCATCTTTGTCAACTCTTGGACTCTGGAAAGAGCTTGATGCATGATTATTTTCATTCCCTGTTCTGCCCATGAATGTAGCTGCGAATGCCTCAGAAAATATGTCAGAGTTTCCTTCATTTGCATCTCTAACACCTTCAGGGAGTTTTGAGGTACTAGTACCATCTTTTGCCACAGGTATGCTGCAAGTTTTACTCTCATCTTTCTGAGACTCTTTGCCCGTTAGACGAGCACAAGTGAACTTTCTGTGTTGGACGTAGTTGTCCAGACCCTGGATGACCATTTTGCAGGCCCGACACTGGTGTGTGTCATCGTCCTCTTCCATCGTGACTGCAGCTACAGACAAAAGGATGATGTTTAGTCACAGTTTCATGTAACTGTTAATGTTAGGTGATTTCTATGTGGCTATTTGAATGATACATAAAGATAAAAGATGGTTTAATAGTTTTAAGTACACATAAAACTACATAACAAGCTACGTATTTGGTGTGATATAGCCAGCCACTGTCTGCAAAGCTGGTGTATTGTTCTAGCTGACTAATACAGATTGAGATACAGGTAACGTTACCATTTATTGTTGACCAAATATTCATGGCCATACCAGGCCTTTTAAGGCCTTTAAAAAGCTTTGTTTCCTCCCCAACATGAATTGATGCTTGTCAGCAAGTTGGTCAGTGCAAGTGTGATTCTTTTTCGACCATGATATCACACAGCTGGTACCTGGTTCCAACACACACAAAAATACACCTTCAACCAAAGCTTGTTCCAGTATTTAAAGCAAAATCAATACTAGTAAATTGTTTGGACAAAAACTGTCCATGCATGACGTCCACGCCTAAAGCTGCCCCCCTCCCCCTTACCATCATGATCGTCAAGAAACTGCCAATAATAGTGTAATTCTAGCGGAACGGAGCCTTTCAAATGTACATGTTGGTCACCGTGGTTTCATCATTAATAGTACATTAGATTTATCAGGTTACGTAGAACAGAAAACTTTCTCATAACCTTACCCTTCCACGGAGAGTTTTTCTCAGCGTCACCCCGGCTGACCTCTTAATGGCAGAAACATAGCGCATCATTTGATGACACATACGATATTTAGAAACAATTCGCTACTTCGACAGTTTCAATTCGTATCTAAGGATATGTCATTATAGCAAAAATATATTCAAAGTGTAACAAAAACTTTCACACATTAACTGTGATCTTGCTGGTTTTTTAAAGCTCAATGATTCATTCGAATGTGCTAGTACACAATGTACTACTGCGTTCATACAGGCTTCAGCTGGGTGAGCTGTGAAAAATACACAATGGCATCCTTCCTGTCCTGCAGCTTTTAATTGATCGTCAGAGCCCGTCCAGAGGACGCAAAAATGTCCAGTGCATGTGTAAGTTTTCTCAGGATATTTTGGAATTTTAAAACCATTCCGTCCACATATGTTCACCCATCAGAATTCTTTACCACCTCCTCATTGCATTAAGTATTTGCATATTAGTGTTACAATCATAATACCCAACACTGTAAAGGACTTCTAATGTTTAACATAATATACTGTGGTTCTTACACGTACCAATTTTAACTATTAACGACTCACTGACACTATTGTTTTAACTACTGACACTATTGTTTTTATCATTAACAAATCACTGATCACCAATGTGATCATTGAAAGAAAAGATGCCACAAATAACATTTTGTAATTTACTATTTTGTTAAGAGATCATATACCCTCCAAAATAATCGTAAGAAGTGATTGTTTGTCATGTACAGAAGCTGCCAGTGTTGGAGGCGATGGACAAGCATCACTGTCTGGCCTGTGACACCATTGTGGAAGGGCTTGACCTGTACATTCTTCACAAAAGGCAAGACTGCCCTGCATTACAGTTGGTCAGGAGTACCTTCAATGTAAGTGCTAGTACTGCTTCAGTGCCAAACAAAGAAATACCAGGTGATGATGGACGTGATCAGACTGGGATTTCAGACACTGACGGTTTGCAAGATGACAACAGCCAAGAAAAGGGATGCAAGGAAGCAGAGAGTGGTAAAGCTGCTGACACAGAAAGTCTCATCACTTCCAGTGGCACACACAGTCTTCATGCAGACAAAAACCTTCCAACAGCAGACCATAGGTTGCCAAGTACAAGAAGTAAGACTAACAGACTTACAGTACATAGTTCTGTAGGTTCTTCAAATGTGACAAAGGCAGACGGTCAAGGTGAGGAAAGTCAGAACACAGAAAGTGATGAACCAGTCAGTGTGGATGTACATAATTCTGCTCGTCCTTGGGAATGCTCAACAATAGACCAAGGCTCAGAGTTGAGAGATGAGCCATTAAAAACAAGTATTAATTCCAAGCCTCAAGAGGATGGAAATAAGAAAGAAGGTTCAAAGGACCAACACTGGTGCAATGTTTGCAAGAAGACATACTTGTCAGCTGCAACACTTAACAGGCATTTTAAGACTAGTAGCCACAAGTCCATGGTTTCACAGGCTTCCTCTGAAAATGGCTCAAATGTAAAATCAGGCTGTTTTCATAGCCAAGCAATTGATGCCTCAGCTACAGGTAATGGAACAAGAATTTCTTCAAAGGATGTTGAAAGTCAAGGGAGTGAAGAACACATTACAAAACTAGCAGCTTCCTCAACTGCACCGAAGAGGATTTCTAGACAGAGAAGAAAGAGAAAGTTACCATCAGAGGGAAATCCAGCACAGAACAGCCTCAGAAGAAAAAGAAATTGTCTCAATAAGAAGATTGATTTGGGAAAAAAAGGTGACTCTAAACAGCAGCATTGTTGTGGTGAGTGTCCCTTTAAAAGTGCTTACAAGGCTTCCCTACGGAGACACTTAGAAACATTTCACAGCCGTTACCTCTGTAGTCGCTGCAACAAAACGTTTGTGACAAGCGAGGACTGTACTGCCCACCAGAGGGAAGTCCATGGTACTATACAACGTAGAACTGGACATGTGTGCAGTGATTGTGATGCCCAGTTTTCCACAGAAGAGGATCTCAATGTGCACAGACGGGAGATGAGACACATGCTGTACTGGGGAAGTACCTGTGTGTTCTGTGGGAAGACAGTATCCAAAGGCCCATGTTTGAAAGGACATATTCAGGCCGTTCACCTTGGAGAGAAGCCCCACAAGTGTCAGCACTGCTCCTATTCCACAGCATGGGCAACTGACCTCCGTATGCACGTCAAGCGCCATCTGAACATCAAACCCTTCAAGTGTCCAGAGTGTGATTACACGGCTGTCCGTATGGTAGCAGTCAAAAGACACCTACAGATGCATGGGGAGGGCGAGCCAAGAAGGTTGTGTGACATTTGTGGGAAGAGCTTTGCTGGAAATTTGCAACGACACATGACTCTCCATGAGGGCCATAAACCTTTTGAGTGCCCGTACAATGCTTGCACCTATGCTGCAACTTTCAAACAGGGATTGACCAATCACATTCGTAGTGTTCACAGGGCAGAGAAGAGTATCGTGTGTGAGCAGTGTGGCTTTGCAACCACCACAGTAAAGCTGATGAAGTGGCACATACGGAGGAAGCACAGTGCAGAGAAACCACACAAGTGTGACCAGTGCAGCTATGCCACCTCCTGGCAGCCTCACCTCATCAGGCACAAGCGTACACACACAGGTGATACTATCAAGCTGTCTGAATTAATGCTCTAGTGCTGTCTTTGAAATACTGTATGTCATCCAAGGTGATGATCCAAGATTGGTCATGTGTGAAAATATGGTGTGCAACATTTTTACTATTTATAAACCAGTAAGTAGTTCCATCGCCTTTTTTAACACAGAAATTTCATGAATGTACAATTACAAGATACTTTTTTCATCTGTCTTCTGTTTATTCTCCTGTCATGTTCAACAGGAGAGAAGCCTTACAACTGTCCTCACTGCTCCTACCGTGCCAACAATGTGGAGAACCTGCGCAAGCACATTCTCAAGACTAAGAAACACGAGGGGCTGAAGCAGTACGTGTGTAAGTGGTGTCCTTACAACACCAACAGTCAGCACGACTTCTCCCACCACCTCAGGAACAAGCACCCCGGGGAAGACCTGGGAGTCAGGCCAACGTTTGTACTGGGGATCAATCGAGGGGCTGCCAAAATGAAGTCTGTTCGCAGCCAGGATAAGTTAGGCCATTTAGCCACCGCTTCAGTAGTACAGTTGGAGCATGATGAGAATAATTCTACAGGAGGGCAGGGTACCCTCCCAGATATTTTGGCATCACAAGACAAGTTGCAATATCTGGTGGAAGAAACAAAAATTATCTCTGATAATGGTGAAGGGGGAAAATAAACTTGAGTTGACAGCAACCTTGAAGACCTTTTGTTTACAAAGTTAATTATCATTCATAAGAGCTATCAGCTATCTGTTTTCTTTACTTACAGAAGATTTGAACATAATTTTTTTAAGTTTGGCAGGAATAAAAAGTGACTCTTAAATATAGTCAAGTTTTGCTCTATCATAATATTTCATTGTGTATGATGGAAATGGACTGATACAAATGTAGCTAGCTTCCTTGTTTGTGATCCTACCTGCAACATGTATAATATATATGTATATATCCATAATAAATTCATGGAGAAACATTCAGTGAACCACTTACTTTTCCATGTCTGATCAATGAGTACATTGTGTATTTAAGATCCGGACATACGCTGTATCGTGTAATCATGTGTAGTGCAGTATGGATCTCTTATAGGCAAGACTTGTTTTTTTTATTTTTTTTTATTTGCAAATTCAACAAGGACAATACAAGACAAGGTGGCGAGGTACTCTAGCTATAGCTAATTTTAGCCTCACCACCAAACATAGAATACAATTACAATACATAACAAAAAACAGAGAACAGCAAGTGGGTGGGATGGGTCGTTAAATAGTACAAAGAAATGTTTAGTAGGCTATATAATAAATCAATCGAGTACAAACCGTTTGGTGTCAACAATATAAGTTTGAGTGGTTAGCAAGATATTACAGTTTGTATCATAGTATAAATCAGGTAATCTTCTAAGTAAAATATCACATAACAATTGTTCAGACATATTGAAAACATCAAAATCAAAGCCTACCACATTCTGGAGATTGCTGAGTAGGATGACTCTTTGTTGATTATATAAAGGGCAGTGTAAAAGAAAATGTATGACACTCTCACAACGATACCCGCAGATACAAGCAGCACTAGGGGCTAAATTTCTAAAAAGCCAGAGTTGTTGCAATATAGGTGGCGCTGCTACACAGACAAGACTGCTGTCCCTCGCGTATTGACC